AATACTGTTTGAGTACTAGTTATAGCATTAAATCACAATGTACAGAACAAACAAAAAAATACTAAAAGGGATAAAGTATTAAGTTGTTCATCAACAGTCAGGGCAAGGGCTGATCAAGTCACCATTTCTCATAGTGTCCATTTCACTTTAACAGGTTTCCTTTTTGGTGCTCGGTTAGTTGTCACCAATCAGGGAGAACATATGATATTTGTCCCTTTGGGACTGGCTTATTTCACTCAGCATGATGTTTTCTAGATTCCTCCATTTTGTTGCAAATGGCCAGATTTCATTGTTTTTTACTGCTGTACAGTATTTTATAGAGTACATATCCCATAATTTTGAAAAGAATCCTTTTCTGATGAGTGCTGTGTACTCCTAGGTGTGCACACCACAAGCCTCAATTCACAGAGATTATCACTATATCAATATCTACATCAGATCCTTCAAAAGGCTCATGGAACAATGGAATTAAAAATAATTTTATTTTGGTGCAAAAAAAGTTTGAAATCCACGCATGGTTTTTTCATCATATGCATTGTCAATGAACTTTTTGAAGTACCCATGCATATATATGTATATTTGCTTAGCCTAAGCTATGCTTCAACAACCCTAGAATCTCAGTAATCAAAAAACAAAACAAAACAAAAAACAAACAAACAAAAAAAACAGATAAGAAGAACCACATTTCTTTTCTAACTTATACTATTCACCTGTCCCTGGCCACCTGAGACTCAGAACCCTACTGTCTTCCTTCTGGGACCCCAACTGAAGGATCAGTCCCCATCTAGGGCATTACAGAGTGCAGAGGGAAAAGAGAGAGGGCAGTGATGGCTCTGAAAGGTTTTTGCTCACAAATGGAACACATCCTTTCCCTCCATGCCTCCATGGCCAAAGTCAGCCACGATGATGCCACATCATATGTAGATCCAGTTTGGATGTCAGAGTAAAATTGAACCAAAGGTGTATCTTAGGTGTATTCTTCAACCAAAAATTTATATCAAAATCTTTCTATATCTGAAAGGAATACTACTTATATATGTATCAGAATGTAATCTATCAGAATACATATCAGAATGCACTACTACTGCACTGGTTCCCAGACACTTTTATACAAGAAAGATTTCTTCTTGGGGAGTTGATTTCTCACTGTGTCTTCATTGTTCCACGACACTATGCTGCTCTATGGGATTTTTCTACTTGTCACCTACAATATCTTAGCACTAATTTTCCCTTCAGAAGTTTAAATTTAATAAATATAAGGACAATAAAATCCTACACTATAAAATCTCTACTTTTTCAATTCTATCAATTCAATTTTTTCTTCCCGAAAATCATTAGTATGCACAAGCTGAGCTTATTTTATATTTTTATATATTTCTATGAGATTCCTTTTCTAAAGCAATGAAAAATATTTTTTCCCTTTCCCACAACTCAACAAGGCTTAACTGATTTTGTTCATTGGTCTTGAAAAAAAAAATCATCCTTTGGCTTAAACCAAGCATGGAAAATTTTAGCCCCAAAGGAATATTTTGGAAGATAGTTATATAAACAAAAGAAAAAAAAAGAGTTGGATTAAAAAGAATTTTCTTACATTTAACTACAATAATGCCAGCTAATTTAGGGCCACAAAATAAATATAGAGAGTATTTGTTCTTATGATAATAATAAAATAGCTAGCAATCCCTGTAATAACACTAATAATAAACTAGCTAACTTTTATTTCATACTTCTGTGCTAATATTGAGTTCATGAGGGGTCTTCAAAAAGTCTGTGGAAAAACTACACTTGGATTTCGCTTTTTTCCATCTAAAAGAACTCATCTTTTAATTTCACATTTCTGTGAACTTTTAAAGTACCACATCATTTAATTCTCACATCAATCATATGACGTAGATACCCTTATCTGACAACATGACGTGACAAAAGTTGAGGTTTTAAGAGGTTAAGAAACACAGCCAAGATCCCCAAGTTGTTAAATGGCTGATTACTCTATACGCTAAAACTGAATAGTATTCCAATGACTCTCATGTGCGATCCTGCCAGTGGAAAGAGCAACAGCTACCTAGGAACTTGCTAGAAATCCTCCTTGCCAGATCCCCCAACCAACAGAGGAGTCAGGAACTCTAGGGGTTGGGCCCAGAAATCTATTTTAACAACACAAGTCTACAGGCAATTCTGAAAGTTGGATAACCATGGCAGTATCCCATGAACTTGCTCCAACAGTACTTTTTTTTTTTATATAGAAAACTTTTATTTAATAAATATAAATTTCAAAAGTACAACTTTCGGATTACAGCCGTTCTTCCCCCCCCAATAACCACCTTCCCACCTTCAAACCATCCCATCTCCTACTCCCTTTTTACTGAAATCTTTGTCTTTCACTTTTTTTGTTACCTTTTTATTGACATACATTATTCAAACATGAAATAAGTGGAAAGTACACTCTCGGCAGCTTTTGTAGCGTCTGTGAATTTTTGTTTTCTTGCTGGTTATGGTGGATGTTTTATTGCTTAGTGCTGTTTTGTTGTCTTCCTGTAAGAAGTATTAAATTAGCTCTGACAGACTGTTAAGTTACCTGCATTTTAGTTTGATGTTTACAAGACTTGCTTTTAGAATCTGTAGAGTAATCATCACTGTGAGGACAGATTAGCCTTGCTACAAAAACGACTTCAAAAACCCGTGTGATTTCCACTGAATACCCTGACCACCAGTTGTCTGGTGGGAAGTAAATACGAAGCCCTGGGTGAATTCTGAGCAGTTTTGCTCATGAGCTGGTGATGTTTTCTGGAGGTCAGAGAGTTTTACTCCATGGGTGCAGGGCATCGCCTGCGGCAAAACCCCCAGGGAGTCCTGTCACTTTCTGAAGCTCTATTTCTGTTTAGCTGCCTCCCTACTTGGAACTCCCAGCCCCTCCGACGGGTGAACTCTCATCTCCGCCAGCGTGGCTCACCCAGACTGCTGCTGACCTGCTTCTTCCTGTTCCAAATTCAGGATGTGCCTCAAAGCCCAGGCTGGGGTGGTCCATTTATTTATTTTGCTTCTCTTGAGGCCCACAGTCCTGCATCGCCTGTTGTCCAGTGTTTGGAAAACACAAAGTTGTTTATGTGCTTGGTCCTTTTCCCATGTGCTTTAGGTGAAAAAGTAAGTCTAGTCCCTGCTGCTCCATCATGGCCAGTAGCAGAATTTGACTACACGTTTTCAGGAAGGAATTGACAGCTGATTCTAAAAGTTACTGTAGAAGCAAAGGCTGTAGAGTAGCCAACATAAGAACAATAAAGTTGGAGAACTTACACTGTATTTCAGAATGTACTGTAACTCTGCAATGTGATATTAGTGTAAGAATAGATTATGTACTCACAATCAGAATGATATAACCCCCAAGGAGGCAGAAATTCATTCTTGGAGGGAAAAAAAATCTTATTTTTTCATATATAAAGATTATGTGCACATATTAGACATGAACAGATATACAATGAATCTCTGATATTTAAATTCATGGAGGAATGTGGGGAAGTCTTCTCAACAAACATTGCTGGAAGAACTGGGTATCCACATGCAAAACAGTGAAGTTATGCTCTTACCTAACACCATAGGCAACATTGACTTAAAATGAATCTGTGATCTATGTAAGAACCAAAACTGTAAAACTCTTAGAAAAAGACATAAGGCAAAATTTCATGGTATTGAATTTGGCAATGGTTTCTTGGAAATAACACCAAAGGCATTTTTGACAATAAAACAAAAAATAGATAAATTGGAGTTCATTAAAATTTTAAAAATTCAAGCATCAAAAATCCCTACCAACAGAATAAAAAAAGATAATTGACATAATGGGAGAAAATATTTACAAATCATATATCTGATAAATGATAGCCAGAATATGTAGATAATTAAATTTTAATTACAAAATCAAATTTAACAATGGGCAAAGGATTTGAATAGACATTTCTGCAAAGAAGATATACAATGGAACAATAATATAAGAAAATGATGTTCAACATGGCTAATTATTAGGGAAATGCAAATCGAAAGTTCAATGAGATATGACCTCATGCCTATTAGGATGGCTACTATAAAAAAATGCAGAAAATAACCAGTGTGGGCAAGGATGTGGAGAAAGTAGAACACTTGTGCACTGTGGCTAGGAATAAAATGGTACAGCCCTTTTGGAAAATGTTGTGGTGGTTCCTCAATAAAATGAAAAATAGAATTATTATATGAGCTAGTAATTTTAGTTCTGGGTACATACTCAAAAGAAGAGATATTTGAACACCTATGTTCACAGCAGTGTGATTCGAAATAGCTAAAATGTGGGAACAAGACATTTGTCTATCAACAGATGAATGAACCTGCAAAATGTGGTCTACACATACGATGGGATACGGCACCATCTTAAAAAGGAAGGCACATACATACACTGACATACACCACAAACAACATGGTGAGCCAAGCGGACACGAAGCTGAGTGAAATAAGCCAGTTGCCTGAGGACAAATACTATGGAATTCCACTTAAATGAAGTGGTTAGTATCTGAAAGAGGGAACAGCGAATAGTTACTTTTAATGGGTATAGAATTTCAGTGTTACAAGCTGAAAAGAGTTCTGAAGATGGATAGTGGTGATGGTTACATAACAATATATATGATAGAAAATGGGGCCGGCGCCGTGGCTCAATAGGCTAATCCTCCACCTTGCGGCGCCGGCACACCGGGTTCTAGTCCCGGTTGGGGCGCCGGATTCTGTCCCGGTCGCCCCTCTTCCAGGCCAGCTCTCTGCTATGGCCAGGGAGTGCAGTGGAGGATGGCCCAGGTGCTTGGGCCCTGCACCCCATGGGAGACCAGGAAAAGCACCTGGCTCCTGGCTCCTGCCAGGATCAGCGCGGTGCGCCGGCTGCAGCGGCGGCCATTGGAGGGTGAACCAACGGCAAAAGGAAGACCTTTCTCTCTGTCTCTCTCTCTCACTGTCCACTCTGCCTGTCAAAAAAAAAAAAAAAAATGGTTACATAACAATATATATGATAGAAAATGGTTGATAGAAAATTTTATGCTACGTGTATTTTACCCAATAGGAAAAAAAAAAAAGGTTAGAAAGAAAGTTCATGAAGGAGAAGGACAATTAAGAATAAAAATGTTCAGAAAAGCTCCTGGGGGGGAGGGGTCTGATAATAAAAGAGACTGAGAAACAACTAGATAAATAGAACGGAACAGAGAGAGTCCAGAAACAGACCCCGACACAGCACTGAATTGAATTTTGTCAAGTCACTAATGAGGAAAATCTTTTTAACAAATAGGGATGTAGCTGGATGTACAAATGGAAGCAAACAAAGCTGAGCTTCTATCTTCCTCCATCTGCAAAAATACATTCACAATGGACCGTGGTCAAAACATAAAACCTCCTAAGAACATCTTCACAACATTGAGAAGACAGAACGAAGATCTTTTTGGAATAGGAAAGAAAATATCAGTAAATAAGACATCATTAGGAAGCAAATAAATAAGTCACAGACTTGGAAAATGGTTGAAACACATATGCCTAATAAAGGAATCCCATTCACAATATATGAAATGTTCCTTCAAAAGTAACAATAAAAGAATGATAATAATTTAGAAATGAGCAAAAGACTTGAACAGTCACTTTATAAAAAGGCAAATACAGTGCTAACAGGCACAAGAAATGATGCTCAAAATCGCACTTTATTAATTGTTAGATTGTTAAATTAAAACCACCTATTTGAAATAGAAGTGTTAAAATGAAAATGATTGTCAGTACCAAATGTTGGCATCTAGGCATCTGATATATTGCTGGTGATTATGTCAAATGAAACAGCCTCTCAATCAGTTTCTTACAGAGTTAAATATACATTTACACGAGGACTCAGTAATTCCATTCTTGGGTATTTATGCTACAGCAATGAAAAAAGGCCTCTTCCCACAGGGAATACATGGCAGTGTCTGGAGACATTTTTTATTGTTACAACTGGGGGTGCAACTGAAAGCTAAATACCTTATAACGCACTGATTACCCCATACCCAAGAAAGGGTTCCCACCTTAAAAGTTAGTAGTGCTGAGGTTGAGAAACCCTGATCTGCACAAAACCTTACAAATGAATATTCTCAAAGCTTTCTTCATAGTAGCCCCAACCCCGTCCCCCCACCCACACACTAGGAAATCTCAGCCATCCATCAAGAGTTGACTGGATAAACAAATTGGGATGTATTCATACAATGGAATAGTAATCAGCAAACAGAAAAAGCAAGCAACTGAAATGTGCAACCACATGGATGAATTTCAAAAACGTTTTCCAGTGAAACAAAGCAAGACATAAAAATAACACCACTGACTGATGCCATTCATGTGAGCAGTCAGGGAAATGAGACAGGGAGCAGGTCAGTGGTATCCTGGAAGTAGTGGCAGAGGGAAGGGACTAGGTGTAGAGGGGGTTTTGTAGTGATGGAAGTGGTTTTTTTTTTTTAATTTTTATTTATTTATTTTTTGACAGGCAGAGTTAGAGAGAGAGAGAAACAGAGAGAAAGGTCTTCCTTCCGTTGGTTCACCCCCCAAATGGCTGCCACGGCTGGCCCACTGCATCAATCCGAAGCCAGGAGTCAGGCGCTTCCTCCTGGTCTCCCATGCAGGTGCAGGGCCCAAGCACTTGGACCATCCTCCACTGCACTCCTGGGCCACAGCAGAGAGCTGGACTGGAAGAGGAGCAACCAGGACAGAATCCGGTGCCCCAACCGGGACTAGAACCCTGGGGGTGCCGGCGCCATAGGCAGAGGATTAGCCTACTGAGCCGCGGCGTTGGCCCCGTTGGAAGTGTTTTAGATCTTGAGTATGGTGGTGAATACATTAGATAAATTTTGTATCAAATTTTATTGAAATGTACCTTCAAAATATGAGTATCTTGTTAGAAATTTTGCATCTGTAAAGTTGTTAGCAAAAAAAAAATAATCTAGGCTTACATGTTATTTGTAGATGTTTGGGAGGAAATGGTTATCTCAAAAATCGGAGGTCTTTTAATCCAAGGGGATAGTTTCTCTCTCCAATTATTTAGCTCTTCTCTAACTTCTCTCAGCAAAGTTTTGCAATTTTCAGCATAGAAGCTTTGCATATCTTTGTCAGATGACTAGATAGTTGATATTTTATGTTGCAAATAGTATTTCTAAAATTTCATTTTCCAATTGTTTGTTGCTACTACACCTGTTTGAGTTTAGCTTACAAATCTATGGAGAACTACTGACAGGAGGTTTATATAGGTACAGCAGCACCATTTCAAAAACATGTCTGAAGAGATGTGAGTTTGTAAGACATGTTCCAGCAAGCATTATGCACTGTGTGTTTAGCAATGTCTTCTAGGTTTCCAGCACACTCACCACCATCGTATGCTAGGTTCCTACAGTGAAGGAGCCTCCCTCTGTAAGTCCAGGACATTCTGTGCGGCAGCTACGGAGGCTCCCTGCTTGTATTTCTCTTCAACAGTTTTCCAATCATCTGCAAGGTGTGTGGTTCTTTCCTGGTTTCTAGCCGCAGAGGTCACCACCATCTTGCAAGGAAGTCCCCGGCCAATGCCTGGTCATGGCTGGGCACTACGGTCTGGCCAGTTCTGCCCTGTTGTCTTCGCTCTGCAGTTCCCTGTTAAGTTGCCTAGACCTTGTTGCCTGTTTCTCATCCCGTGAGGCCCTTCCTGGTGAATTCTGCTTCCCGGTCCCCTTTCTTCCACGGATGCCAGAGCTGCATCTCAAGCTGAAGGCTTTTGTTTCCATTCTGCCCTCTCTCACACAGGTGCACTTCCTCCACTGCCCTGCCCCGAGTCAGGCACTTGCCCTCCACTCCGTTCCACCGCAGCATCAACTCCCTCCAAGACACAACCAGATTTTCATGATATGTTTGAGGAACTAGAACCTTTTCATCCGCTGCCTTGTCATGTTCACCAAACATTAGCATCCCCTTCCCACACTGGAGGGGCCTTTCTCAACCATTGAGAGTAAAGCTATGCCCCTAATTAAGCATTTATACCCAGCCATGGTATTTGCTGCCTCTGTTCTGAGGATTCCTGTATAAGATTCAGACGTTTTTTCCAGAAGGGTCCTTACGCATGGATTACAAATCTACCCAAGGTCTTTGTCTTGGATCTTTACGCTCTCTTCCCAAAGACTACATTGTATGTTACCCGTGAGTCATTCACAGCTGCACAGCCCTCAGATTAATATATCTGCCCATCAAGCTGCAAACCACTCTCTTGTTGGCTGGGAACACTGTTGAGTTTTCAATCTCTCATCGTAGGAAGGCTTTAAAAAATACTGCCAATTCTTTATGCTTGGTTTGAGTTGCAAGGCTGAGATTAGGAAAAGGAAAAAACATAGCATTTTTCTCTTCAAAAGTTCTTTCTTTAATGGAATATGTTGTTTGAAGGCTTTTGTCCAAGTCTCTAGGGTCTACAGCAGTAAAGGATTTCTGGATTTCTCATCTCTCACTGGTTTTCTGAAAATGCACAGATATAGAGTGGTTCTTATTTAGACCCTAACAGCATGGCCGTGCTCTCCTTCCACTCCTGTGTGGTCTTCTCAGGAAAGGGAAATCGCTCTGTGGCTTCCCCACTACCATTCATTCATTCAACAAATATTTATTCAACGCCTACCGTGTGCCAGGCATTTTAATGTGTATTGCGTTTTATTAGACAAAATAAAACCCAAGAGCAAATTTAAAGCAAAGCAGAATTGTCATGTGCATTTTAAAACTTGGAAGAGCAGAGGTATTTTGTTTTGTTTTGTAGCAGTAGGTCAATGAGGGACTGTGTGAAGTGGTGGCGGGGAAAACGGGTGCAGTGAGACAGACAATCCGCTGCCCTCCCAGAGCTGCCTGCGTAGTAGAGACGTTGACACCAGGCTGCCTCTCATGCCACTGAGACAAACTGGAGCTTTGGCTGCGCACACCCCAAGCCTCTTCTTTCACAGAGCCCTCGATTTCTGGGTGGCCCCATTCTTTCAGTTGCTTGTGTAAAAAAAGTTTGGAGTTTTCTTTGCCCCTTCTCTTTCATACTCTCATCTGGGCCATCAGAGAGTCCTACTGACTCTACCCTCAAAAAAAAAAAAAGAAAAAACAATGCTCAGAATCCAGCTGCTGCTCATCATATTTCCAGACCCCTGTCATCCCACCTGGGATACTGAAGTCCTCTAACTGGATTTCCTGCTTCTGCTACCAGCACCCATAGTTTATTCTCAGGGGGTACCCATAGTGCTCTAGGGTTACTTCTTTGCTTAAAATCCATTGCTTTGGGTATAAACAGAGACCCAAGCCCTTCTACAGATGTTCTAGCCCCTGTGTGATCTGCCCTCCTCATCTCTCAGATCTTCTCTCCTATTACTCTTCTACTAATTTGTTTCTTTCTCGCTCACTGAATCTCCAGCATATGCCTGACCCAGGGCCTTTGCACCTCTTAATCCTTCTGCCAGAGAATAGAGCTACATCGTGGCTTTCTCCCTTGACGTTCAGGCTTTGCTCAGATGCCACCCTTACACTGATGCCTTTCCTAGCCACTCTGTCTGAACTTGCACATCCCCTTATACCTCTTCCCATTTGCACAAGACACCCACAGAACTGCGTTTCTCATTGAGTTTTTCTCTTTAGCCCCAATATCTATCTAAAATCCCAGTATCCCAATCACAGCTGACTGAGATTGTAAACTCTATATAGATGTGAATTTTTGCCTCCTTTGTTCAGTCTTTTATGCCCAGCACCTAGAACAGCTCAAAAGTGTTTGTTAAGTGAAATGAATCTAAGAAAATATCAGCCAATTTCTAGAGTGGGATGTATTTTGCTTTTTCTGGTTGCTACACTGGAAATCCAAAATGATCCTTTTGGTGTTAAACAAAATAAAAATCAATGCTTTAGCATATATGCATAGCAGTCTTTTTTACACACAGGTACTTCAAAAAGTTTGTGGGAAATGGAATTAAATACACGTATTTTACTGAAAAACATTTAAAAATCTATGCTTAGTGTTCTCACACGATGCCTTTTCCACGCACTTTTTGGAATGCCCCCATATATCTTCCTTTTAAGGTATCTCACATCCAGTATATACCATAGTTAGAAGGCCTACTACTAGGGACTCTGTTGCAGGACATGCCACAGTTCTCCCAGTAATTCCAATATTCTATTCCTATCGCCAAAACTTTTTGTTTTTATTCCAGCCCATCTAATGCTTTTAGGCTTCTGTTAAAACCCATTTGCTTATGTAAGTCTTTAATGAAATTGGGTAGAATCAGCACCTTTGTGAATTATTTGCCTCTCATTCGAAGCCCCCTGACTCTTCCTCCCAGTCTGGCTTCGCGGACCCTTTAGTGGTGCCCTGTGACTCCTCTGTCAGTCATGCTTCACATCTGTGTCCTTCTCAGTGGTGAATTCTTTCCCGAGTGCAGGATTTGCTAACTCATAGAGCACTTCAGTGGACAAATGGAGAAAAACTCACACCAAGCATCAAAGGAGACGCCCTCCCCACCCATTCTTATTTGCCACTGCAAACTTGACTCCTAATCAGCACAATGAATGCAGTTTGCCTTAGATCAATTAGGAACAACTGAGATGCGGGCACGAACGTCATAGAAACAGCTCCGTGCACGCCACTCCAACCCTTGCTGAGGCCCCATTCGCTCTTGACCGACTTCTGCAGCACCCACGCTCTCTCAACTCTTCCTCCGCAGCCACCAACAATTATCTCAGGAAAAAAAATCTAGATTCCTCAGCGGGATACAGGAGGCCTTTTGTGACCCAGTCCCTGCCTCTGTCATCGGCTGCTCCGATGATTCCAAGACTGCTCACTGCACTGGAGCTTCCTGAACAGCCCATAACCACATCATTTCTCATTTCTGCTGATGACACTTCCTTGGCCTGCACTCCCCCCTCCCCACGAATCTACCCGATGCACTCCTCACCATCTCCTAGGAGGGCATCGGTGAAGGAACTCAGCGTAGAAGACTCCTTATCCCCAGCTCTGCTCTGAGGAAGGTTTGGGAGATAAATAACACTTGGATTAGGACTGGGGCACAGGTGGTCCGTGCACCTAGTGGGGAGGCTAATAAAAAGCCCAGCCTGGGGCAGCTGCCAGCCCACTGCAGCAGGGCTCACGGGAAGAACATTCCCTGACAGCCTGAGACCCTGGGGAGGCGCTGCTACACGTGCACCTTGTGGATGGCAGGTCCCAACGAAGGAAACAGCTCAGGAAGCCCATCCCTCTTTTTCAGACTTACCATGCAAGCGAGTCATTTTCTATTCACTGGGACAGAGTGAGGAAAGGGGACCGAGAGGCCAGGGAAGCACTTTTAAACATCCTCCACGTGGACACTGGATCGAGAGGAAGGCAGCCCAACCTTCCTCAGGTCGGATTCCATCGTTTCCTCCTCTGCACACCCTTCCCTGACTGGGCTGACTCAGCTCTTTCCCCGTTACCGGGTCTCAATCAGGGGCCATTTCCTTCCAGGGGCCATCTGGCCATGTCTGAGATATTTGGGGGTATCTCAAGTGGGAGAGGAGGTGCTACTGGAGCTAGTGTGCAGGGGACATGGGACATCTTCCACCATCAATTGTTGTCTGGTTCAAAATGTCAATAATGTTGGGGCTGACCAACTCTGTCATAGGCACCCACTGCCCTAATTTGTACCCTTACCATCCCAGAGTCCTGCAGGGCAACTGTGTTTTCAGTTTTTGGAGTTCTGGCACTCAGTAGATAATGAGTAAATATTTGTAGAAAGTTGGAATGAGTGAATGAATGAATGAATGAATGGGCTGAATCATAATCATTAAAACTACAGGAGAGGCCAGAGTTGTAGCCCGGTGAGTAGAGCTGCCCCCTTGCAATGCTGGCATGAGCCCCTGCTGCTCCGCTTCCCATCCAGCTCCCTGCTCAGGCACCTGGGAAAGCAGTGGAAGATGGCCCAGGTCCTTGGCTCCCTGCCACTCACATGGGAGACCCAGATGGAGTTCCAGGTCCCTGGTTTCAGCCTGGTCCAGCCCCGGCATTTGTGGCCATGTGGGGAGTGAACCTACAAATGAAAAAAATCTCTCTGTCTCTCCTTTCTATCTGGCATTCTGCCTTTCAAATAAATAAAATAAATATTTTTTTAAAAAGGGCATTCATCAAAATTTTTAAAACTACAGGAAAATGTCAGCTAGTCCTCTGGATGACATAGATACCATTTATACCTGGGGCTGCTCAATTGAGGCTGATTCATGGAGTTTATGAACTTCTAAGATTCCAGGTAAAAAACTTCCAGGTGTATACTCACACTTGCATTTGTTCTGAGAGGGCCTCAGCTTTATTAGATTCTCAGATGTGACTACTAGCTTAATAATGTTAAAAAACCTATTTAAGATATCAGGTAAAAGTGCAGGTGGGAGGGAGGGTAGGGTGGGAAGAATCACTATGCTCCTAAATTTGTACTTATGAAATACATGAAGTTTATATACTTATATAAAACAAGTTGAAAGAGCAGTTAAAATTCATATCTTGAGTGTTGGAGTGTTAACCCTCCCCCCCACTCCCTTCTAGAAAACATCTAGCCACACCTGTCCACCCTCAAGAGATTGCCTTGGGCATATCATTTTGACCATTTCATGGCTAGCTAATCTATAGATCAATATTTCCCATCTCTCAGACTTGGTTTCCTCATTTGAACTAAAAGGTAATAATGGTGGTAATCACCTCAGGAGAGTCTCAGGTATTTCATGCAAACTCCCCACAAGTATTAACTATTAGCATCTGAATACTTTCAATGGTATTAGTTGGGAAGAGCAGGAATCCTCTGGTTGACCACACTATTGTTTCAGTTTCTTGGTGATGTCAATAAAGTGTGCTTGGGAGCTGCGCTTTCTCTTTCAGTATGGAGACAGAAACATCTTGACATTTTTTCCATTGAGCAAGAGGAAAAGCTTGGGGTTTAATTTTTTTTTTTTTTTTTTGACAGGCAGAGTGGACAGTGAAAGAGAGAGACAGAGAGAAAGGTCTTCCTTTGCCGTTGGTTCACCCTCCAATGGCCGCTGCGGCCGGCACACCACGCAGATCTGATGGCAGGAGCCAGGTACTTCTCCTGGTCTCCCATGCGGGTGCAGGACCCAAGCACCTGGGCCATCCTCCACTGCACTCCCGGGCCACAGCAGAGAGCTGGCCTGGAAGAGGGGCAACCGAGACAGAATCAGGCGCCCTGACCGGGACTAGAACCCGGTGTGCCGGCGCCGCTAGGCGGAGGATCAGCCTGTTGAGCCACAGGGGTTTTAATTTCATGTTGGCAACTACTAATCAAAATTACTGCTTAATTACCCAATTCTCCAATTCACTTGTGCAAAAAAAAAAAAAAAAAAAAAAAAATAGTTCAGTACCTGGAGTGGCTGCATTTTCACTAAATTATTTGGAATTATATCTTTTTAGTTTTGCGAGTTATTTTTCGTCATTTGATATTACTGATTCTCAGAAGCTGCTGGGTGGGTGCTGATCCTGCGGAGGCATCTGTGTAAGGGAAGGGAGAAAACCAAGGCACAAATCAGCTTCAATGCCCTAACCGATCTGGCCGCTGGTTAGATGTGCAAATACATTCCGCCAGAAAGGAAACAAAGCCAGTGTGCCTGGCTTGGCTTTCTCAGGGTGTATCTGTGTGCATGCATGTACTCAGTACTTGGCGATCACAGGAGAACTAGCAGGAACAACTGGACAGTGAAACATTGGGATTTGTATTTTCTCCCTTTATTCTCCAGAACCGTTGTGTTCATCACACTCTTGCATCCTTGGCTCCTTGATTTAACTTTAATTTGTTTCAACACCAGTGGCTGCTTTACCAATAGGCAGTCATTTGGATACTCATCCTGGTCTGTTTATGTCATCAAGTATGCACAGGACTGAACTGTGTTCATGTCTGCATTGTTTGGTAACACAACAAAATTTCTATTTTTTTATATTTAATAATTTTTGACATTTTGCCATATTCACTTCCTATGTAAATATTACACAGACACATCATTGCTCTTCAAAGTGGGGATATTAATATCACATACTGTGGGATTCATGACAAGGATCATAAAGTGAGGAAAGAAGGGTATATTATTACATAATATGCTGTCTTCACTGAAGACAGCATTATAACTATCAAAACAGCAGAATGTTTTGAAAATCTACCCATGTTGCTCTGTGTGCACACATCTAGTGTGTTGCTTCTAAATAAGGCACATTTACTATATTTTTAAAATGTAACAGAAAATGGAATTAAAATTATGAGTGTATTTTGGAGCAAAAAATGAAATCCATTAATAAATTTTTCATAATATGCATTTTCCACTTATTATGCAAAAATATTTTGCACCAGAAAGGTTTTTTACACCTCATTGAACTCCTACTGTTAATTCCGTTTTCCCATGAACTCTTTGAAGTACTTTTGAATGCCTTTCTCTCAGACTGCATGCAGCTCCCCTCCCCCCCACTCTCACCACATCACACCTTGTATGTACAAGACAGACTAAAGGTCTAGGAGAACACCTTCTGGACTCAGATCGGCACTCTGACATGGGATGCCGGCATTGCAAGTGGCAACTTGACCCACTGCACCACAGTGCCAGTGCCAGGCAGTATGGGTTGTGCTTCTTTGCTTCAAAAAGCCATTCCTCAGCTGGTGCTGTGGCATAGTGGGTCAAGCCACCACCTGCAGTGCTGGCATCCCACATGGGCACTGGTTTGAGTCCTGGCTGCTCCACTTCCAATCCAGCCCTCTGCTATGACCTGGAAAAGCAGTAAAAGGTGGCCCAAGGACTTGGGCCCCTGCATCTGCGTGGGAGACCCAGAAGAAGATCATGGCTCCTGGCTACAGATCGGGCCAACTCCAGCCATTTGGACCATTTGGGGAGTGAACCATCAGATGGAAGACCTCTTTCTCTCTCTTTCTCTACCTCTGCCTCTCTATAACTCTGCCTTTTAAATAAATAAATAAATCTTTAAAAGAAGGAAAGGAGAAAATATGTCTTTACATTTTATTTTGTTGGCTTTATGCTTTTACCTTGCATCTCTTGGTCTTTAATTCCTTGGGAGTACATGTTTATGTGTGGTGTAAAGTACATCATTACTTCATTTTCCCTATCTGATCAGTCAGCTTAGCCAGCATCATGAATTTTTTGCCATTGATTTGCGATGCTTCCACAACGATATAGCAAGTCACATGTACAGGCATCCATGTAAGCTTTCTGTTCAGTCACTGCTCTATTTGTTGTTGTGCAAGTATCACAATTTTTTTTTTTTTTGACAGGCAGAGTGGACAGTGAGAGAGAGACAGAGAGAAAGGTCTTCCTTTGCTGTTGGTTCACCCTCCAATGGCCGCTGCGGCCAGCACAGTGCGCTGGCGCAGTGTGCTAATCCGAAGGCAGGAGCCAGGTGCTTCTCCTGGTCTCCCATGGGGTGCAGGGCCCAAGCACTTGGGCCATCCTCCACTGCACTCCCAGGCCACAGCAGAGAGCTGGACTGGAAGAGGAGTGACCGGGACAGAATCCGGCGCCCCAACTGGGACTAGAACCCAGTGTGCCAGCGCCGCAGGTGGAGGATTAGCCTATTGAGCCACGGCGCCGGCCCCACAATGAGTTTTTAAAAAAGATTTTATTTATTTATTCGTTTGAAAGGCAGTGTGACAGAGAAAGGGAGAGGCAAAGAGAAAGATATCTTCTATCTACTGGTCCACTTCCCAAATGCCGGCAACAGTCAGAGGGGGAGGCCAGGCCAATGCAGGGGCTAGGAACTCCATCATGGTCTCCCACATGGGTGACAGGGGCTCAGGTGCTTGGGCCATCATCTGTGCTGCTTTCCCATGCACATTAGCAGGGACTGAATCAGAAGCGGAGCAGCCAGGACACGAAGCAGTGCCCCCATATTGGATGCCAGGACACAAGCAGTGACTTAATCTGCTGCACCACAACACTGGCCCCAGTGTTGTTTGTATTACTAAGAATTGGTGGTGTGGCTTTTTTGTTTTACGATTTATTTTATTTATTTGAAAGGCAGAGTGAGAATGAGAGTGAGAGAGAGAGAGAGAGAAAATATCTTCCATCTGCTGGTTCACTCTCCAAATGGCTGAAATGGCCAAAGCTGGGCTGATCCGAAGCCAGGAGCCATGATCTTCTTCCAGGTCTCCCACACGTGTGTAGAGGCCCAAGGACTTGGGCCATCTTTTATTGCTTTCCAGACCATAGCAGAGAGCTGGATCGGAAGAGGAGCAGCAGGGACTTGAACTGGTGCCCATATGGGATGCCAGCACTGCAGGTGGCGGCTTTACCCACTATGCCACAGTGCCGGCCTCCGTAATAGTTTTTTAAAAACATAGTTTCTAGCAGGTTATTTTTCCACAGTTATTTGAGTAATATGGACTTTTTGTCTTTCAGTCCATTAATATGGAAACTTTGTTATGTTAAACCACTTTTGCATTCCCAAGATAAAACTTGCTTGATCATCATATTGTTTTTTAAAAACACAGTGGTCCCAATTTAATGATGATTAGACTTGGAATATTTTGGACTTTATGATGGTACAAAAGTGACTTGTATTCCACAGAAACCTTCCTTCAAAATTTGAATTTGGCTCTTTCCTGGGCTAGTGATGCAGGGTGTTCTGTCAGGGTGGGCTGGGGCAGCCCTCACTGGCCCAGTCAGCCAGGGAAACAGCTGGCTGTCTACAGTGTGTTCTGTCGCTAAGCTGGGTTGTTCAGTAGGTTGGGTGTGTAAAAAGCACAGTGTTTTCAACTTAGGATAGATCAATTGGGACTACCCATTGTAAGTCCAGGAGCATCTGTGTCCATTAGCTGACGTCTTTATTTAGAATATCTCATCTGTGTTCATCAGTGAAGTGCACTTATTTTTTTTTTTCTTGCTCTGTTTTCCTTTGGGTTGAAAATGAAGATTTTACTGGCTTTACAGAATTACTTGGGCAGCTTTGCCTCTTTTTCTATTTTCTGGAATAACTCATATAAAGTTTAACAGTTCTTTAAGAATTTGTTGAAATTCAACGATAAAACTGTAAAAATACTTTGATGACCATAAAAAATTTAATTGTATGAGTCTATTAAACTTTTCTATTTCTTCTTGTGCCAGTTATACCTTTTGTGCTTTTTTCTCAAAATTTATATATTTTACCTAGGTTTCCTTCTTTCTTTCTTTTTTTTTACTTCGTATCTGCTAGTCCCCTCCTTTTCCTGTGCATTCATTCTCATAGCCTTTTTCTAGCTTCCTCAGTTAGAGTCTAAGCTCATCTGTGTACAGATGCGTGCATTGAAATCGGTTAAATTTCTGTGAGCTTCCACATGTGCTCGCCCTCCAGTCTCTCAGCTGATGGCTTCGTGGGCTGGCAGGGCAGTGGAGTCTGTCTGGTTGAAGAGCAGGTGGGGTGCAGGATCAGCTGGCATAGCTGACCGGGGAACCAGCCACCGGCAGTAGCTCATACCTGGCAATGGCAGGGAAATTCACAGTTAGGCCTTTTGAGGTCCTTCTGTTCCAATGTCAAGGCAACACTTAGTACTGAATCTTAGGTTCAAGCGTCACACTGCAAGCTATACCCTAGAAATGTTGGTATGTATTGCTTTCTTGTCTATTTTCTTTTTAGAGTCTAACTGGACAATTATTCAGCAATATACAAGGGGGTCTTCCAAAGGTTCAGGGAAATGAATATTATGCAAAAAAAAAAAAAAAAAAAAAAAAAAAAAAAAAAACCCGAGGCATGGATCTCAATTTTCTTTGCACCAAAATAAATTGATCCTTTAACTCTATTTTTCACAATGTTTTTCATATCCCTTCGTGTGTGTGTATGTGTGTGTGTGTTAGAGAGAGGGCTTGGTTTCCACTCACAGGATTTATTTATTTGTTTGTTTGTTTTTGTTTGAGAGGCAGAGAAGTAAAGAGACAGAGAACCCCCATCTACTGCTCTACTCCCCAAATGCCTGCAACAGCTGGGGCCTGGCCAAGGCTGACGCCAGGAGACAAGAAATCAATTTAGGTCTCCTACACGGCTGACAAGAAGCCAACCCCCGGAAAAGTCAGCCCTGCCTCTCACGGGCCGCACGAGCAGGAAGCTAGAGTCAGGGGCAGGAGGCAGGCATCCAGCCCAGCCCCTCTCCAGTGTGCAATGCCAGAGTCCTAACCAGCATCTCCACTGCTCAGCCAGGCGCCTGGTCCTCTGCACCAGTTTGTAAGTTATTCTTTTTTGTTTTTTAACATCTAAATTTATAGTCTGTGAAATATTAAATTTTTGAACATTGTGGAGAAATTCTGTGTGTTTCATTTGTGCTTTAAAACAATACACATTTTTTGAAGAGTATAAACTTCTATACATATTAGTCTAAGTTTATTGTGTTATTTGTCTTTTTAAATCATTCCTTATTTCTGGCTCTTGGTTTGTCAATTACTGAGTCATCTTAGAAACTTGAGCTCACTCGTCTTATTTGCAATGGTTTCATATTTGCCTGAGGAATCTTATTCTAATATTTTATTTTCATTTTTTAAAAAGATTTTGAAGGGGCTGGTGCTGTGGCATAGAAGTTAAGCCTGTGCCTGCAGTGCCAGCATCCCATATGGGCACCGGTTCAAGTCCTGGGTGCTCCACTTTTGATCCAGTTCCCTACTAATGCACCTGGGAAGGTAGTGGAGGATGGCCCAAGTACCTGGCCCTTGCACTCATGTGGGAGACTTGGAAGGAGCTCCTGTCTTCAACCTGGCCTACCCCCAGCCATTGCGTCCATTTGAGAAGTGAACCAACAGATGGAAGCATGCTCTCTCTCTTTCTCTCTCTCTTTCTATCTCTGCCTTTCAACTAAATAAATAAATGTTTTTAAGCACTATATCTTCTTAAAACATATTTTATTCTGTTATCCAATCTGGACACAGGTCTTTTGATTGGTGACTATCTACTGCCATTATTATTTCTACTAGGACTTATTTCTACTATATGATTTTGTGTATTGTGTTTTTCCCCCCATCGCCCATACTGATTCAGGTGTCTGGAGTATGTCCTGCACATGTTCATTCTACCTTTTACTGTCATCTTCCCTGCTGTCATCAACCTTTTGTGCATCTTGCCTGACAGCATTTGGCCTCACCTGCACCTTATAGTGCTTCTTGCCTTCTGTCCCAAGGCTGATTCAGCAGCACGGCCTGTGTAGCTTATTCATGAGCAGACTACAAGCTTGAGTTTTCATCCCATGGAGAAATGTCTTCTTCCAACCCTTGAAAAGACAACTGTGAGAAACATTTTCCATGTGTCAGTTTTCCTTCCCTTCTTCTTTTTTTTTTTTTGTTTTAAGATTTATTTATTTAAAAGATGGGGAGGGTATAATCTTCCATCTACTAAATCACTCCCCAAAAGCCCCCCACAGCCAGTGCTGGGTCAGTCCAAAGCAAGGAGACAAGAACTCCATCCAGGTCTCCCACATGGGTAGCAGGAACCCAGTCACTTGAGCCATCATTTGCTGCCTCTCAGGCGGATCAGCTGGAAGCTGGATCAGAAGTGGAGAAGCAGATGCTTGACCCAGCACTGTGATTTGGAATGCAGGCATCCCCCGCTGCACCGCAACACCCGCCACTCCCTCGTATTTTTCCATTCCCTCTTCTATTCACTCTGTCCCTCACTTCTGCTCACTGGGACCACTTCCCAAAATAAACTACCTACATGCTTTAGATTGTGCTTTCTTGGGGATAACCAGGGTAAGATTCATTTCTTCCTCAAAAATGCAGACATTGTCTTTAGCTTCTTTGGAAGATATATGTTATAATTTTATCTTTCATTGATACTTACTGATGCTTTTATTATCAGGTTCATATACTAATTAGTACCTATAACTGCCACTCTTTTTCCTTTGCAAAACAAAGGATCTGGCCACTTTGTATCATATAGAATTTTAGTTTGGAATTGCACTAATTAGATCAATGAAGGTATTTCCAAAAGTTCATGAAAACTAGAAGTAAAAAATTAGTTTATTTGGGTATGAAAGTTTTGAAATCCGTGCATACAAGGGGGTCTTCAATAAGTTGGTGAAAATGCATATTATGAAAAAGCTATGCAGGGATTTCAAAAATTTTGCACCAAGCTAATCTTTTAATTCTACTTTTTCACAGTCTTTTTGACAAATCCTTCTATCTTATTTCTCTTCTCGATTCTTGCACTTTAATATGAACTCAAAATTACTCCCAGTGTACCTCAGAGCATCCTCTGGGATCTAACTCTCTTCCTAGTGGAAATATTTGTCCAAGGGTATAGTGTAAGAGAGTCTTACAGTATACGTTTTTTAGCTTTACTTTACAGAGAGTATCAGAAAAGCCTAAACTCAAAAATATTTTCCTTTAACACTGGTGTTGACCAGGAACACAAACACTACTCTTTTATCTTCTTCTGCTAGGATTATTGTTGAAAATGCGATTATAAAGCTAACACAGAATCATACTCTGTGCAAAGGGGTATTCTAATCAGTTACATACAGTAACTCATTTGATGCCCATGATGGCAATTTCTGCTCCTATGTAGTCATCACCCCTCCCATTTTGAAATTTATAGACTTGTTCTTGTTACTGGTCTTAAATGTTAGTGTATTGTGTCTATTTTTCATCTATTCTGTTTACCAGTCCATGAGTCATTTTAATTCAGGGTCTACTATATTTCTTTAATCTGAAAAATTCTTTTTTTAAGATTTATTTATTTATTTGAAAATCGGAATTACAGAGAGAAAGAGAAGGAGAGAGAGAGGGAGAGAGAATTGATCTTCCATCCTCTGGTTCACTACCCAAGTGGCCGCAATGGCTAGGGTTGAGCCAGGCTGAAGCCAGGAGTGAGGAGCTAGGCCATCCTCTGCTGCTTCCCCAGGCACATTAGTAGGGAGCTGGATTGAAGGTGGAGCAGTCAGGACTTGAACTGGCGCCCATATGGGATGCCAGTGCTGCTGATGGTAACTAAACCTGCTGTGCCACAGCCCCCGCCCTGAAAAGTTCTTATTTATTGTTTCCTCAAATATTTCCTTTCCTCCACCCATTTGTTCCCCCTTCCAAGGCCTCCTATGACACAGATCTCAACTTTCTTTTTTTTTTCAACTTGTGCCTTCTGTGTCTCTTTTCTTCTATATTTTCCAGCCCACTATTTCCTAAGCAAGTTGGCTACCTGACCATATGATTCACTAATTCATCTTCAGATACACTGAGTACTTTATTTCAGCTCTTGTATTTTGATGCTTAGTTTCTGTCACTGACTTATTCTTATAGTGATTTGTGCCTCCTGTGTGTTCTAATAATCTCTCTTACTTCCTTGAGGGTTTTTATTTATGCGTCTAATTTTTTTTCTGTCTGGTACATTAATTGAGCTTCATCTAGTACAGATTGTTCAGTTTATTTTCTTTCATAGTGTTTGTACCTTAAACACTGCTTCCTTGGCTGGTAATGTTCCCAGGCTGAAGCAGCGAAAGCCTTAGCATTCTCTGTACCCACAATGGGGCACTGGGCACTGGGCAGGTCATGCCCCTCCAGGACGAGTGTCTCTGGTGTCATAATTAATCTTCTGAACTCATTCTGCTTGTTGGACAGCTTGCTTTGAAATCTTCCTCCAGCTTGGCCTATGGACCTACCCTTTGTCCAGACCTGCCTCTCTGCCTTGCAATCCATGGAAAGCAGAAGCAGAGAGGGAGGGCGGATTCTTCACCCAAGCTGGAGAGTTCTTCCCTCTGCAGGGTCTGACCAGAGCGTGGGACAGCTGGTCCTCTGCTCTGGACTGCTGTGACCCCACATGGGAGTCAACACCCTCTGATACCCCAAGAGCATCTCACTGTTTCCCCAGCAGGTTCTTTGATTCCTCCACCTTTATTTCTCCCTTTCTGCGGGGGAAAGTCAGCACCAAGAGCTAGTTTACTTTCCTGAGAAGGCTGATCAACCACTTTCTAAGGACTCCTAACTGTATCCCAGACCTCATGTATAAAGTATGATTAAGAAAACAAGTCTGCCCAGAAGTATGATTTTAGTTCTGCAATGATGGAAGAGGGCACTTCTTAGCCTGGGGTGGCAGTTTTCTGCTGAGGCACTCAGCTTTTAGAGAGAACACAGCCAGGGACAGACACACTGGCTAAGAAACAGAACGCCCCCATCAGAGTCCCAGCTACTCAACTTCTGACCAAGCTTCCTGCCAATGTGCTCCCTTGGTGATAGGAAAATTGCTGGAGTCCCTACCATGCACATCAGAGACCTGGGCTGGGTTCCTGGCTTCTGGCTTTGGCCTGGCCTGGTCCTGGCTGTTGCAAGCATTTGGGAAGTGAACCAGCTAACTGAAGTGCGCTCTCTCTCTTGTTCTGCTTTTCCAATAAAAACAAAGGAAGGACAAAAGAAGGAAGGAAGCAAACAAGGAAACAGCTAGGACAAAGCAACATGATGGGACTCAACAGATTCATATATTTCAGCCATATTTGTTGGCCTCCAGTAACCCGTAGAAATGTTTTCATTCATTCCCTTCTTGGCCTCTCCACCCCCCACCACCTCACCCCCGCAGCCCCTGCTCCCTTTATCTCCTACTCTATTCCTGACTGTTTCCACCTCTCTCTTTTCTTCTTCCCTCCCTCTGTCTGTTTGTAAAATAATCAGAGGCTGTTTGCCCATAGCAATGTGAATGCACACAGTGGGGTGCAGTTGAAAGCGGATTTGCGACAGGAAGTTTGGTGGAAGGGCAGAGATTATGTCTAGACAAGGATGATGGATTTGACTCCAAAATTAAAATATTACAATGCAATTTTTCTAACAACAAAAGGTGAATCTGTTAAGCAAAGCACAACTCGGTTCTTTCATCTTCTGATTATGATGCCCCCCTCTGACCTCTACTACGAATGTGCAAGAAGCCAGCCAGATAATTGAGTCAAGACAGCTGGATTAGTCACTCCAAATTACCTATCGTCTACAGGAGAGAGAAAAAATACCAGAAACCTACAGTCAATCTTTGTTTGCTCCCAAAATGAAAATGTGCAGGGAACTATTCAGAAAATGTTATTTTATTTGCATTCTGGATTTATGTAAATCCACAAGAATAACTGTTCTTCAATGACATCATCCTCCCGCCTTTGTAAGTAGATAATTAACTGACAAGTACACTTTCCAAAAGAAGGATTTCACCAAATAAGGGGTTTTGTGGATGCAAATGCACAAAGTGGCAGATACAGCACTTGGAAAACTAAATTTATCCCCAAACGGGAATGAATATACCGAAGTAACTGCTTCTTAGGAATAACAATGTTATTCATTACTTCAGATTTTCTTGTACTGATATTCCCAATATATTCAATAAAGAAAAGTGCTCTTCAAGCTCTGGTCCTACTTCTGTAAATTTGAAGTGGGGAAGGAGAGAGAACAACAGTCTTAGCTTCTGATCCGACCCCCGCCTGGTCTCACACTTCATTCTGCCCCTGTCTCTGCCTCTTCCACATCAGGGGCACCATAGAATCCTCCATCTCTGACTCTCAATGCAGATCTCCCTGGGCTTCAAAATGCACCAAGCAGCAGGGGCAGCTCCAGGAAGCAGACAGCAGATCAAGACAGAATAAATGCTAGGGACTGTTTATGCCAACGGGAGCAATTTTTCCTAAAATTACACATAACTAGAGTCCCAAGCTTTATGAGCAGTTTGGCAATAAAAATGTATTGATTTGTCTTTCCCTTGTATCATTGCATGTACCAGTGTCTCTCCTTTCTTGACAAAACAGCCATCCTTCAAATTTAGTCACCCCACTGCCCTTCTGGCTTTCATTTTCATTTGCTTGCATCCTCATTTCTAAACTCCAACTGGTCCACTTACATCACTTTATTCTGCACATAAACTTTTTGTGTTCTCTCTCCTTCTTCTACACACCCCTGTGCACGCACACACACACACACACAGTCACTAAAGATTCCTCTGCTATAGAATCTAATGACAGTGAATATATCCTCTTTTGCATTGACCTATCTAATATTTGATGCTATGGAATATCCCCCATACATACTTCCTGAAATGATACCTGCTGTGTGGTTGCAGTTAATTATATGCAAGACAATAGTAACCATTTTGCATGCATTAATCTTGGCATATTTCAAATGACCACAAAATGTGGGAACCACAATTATCATCATTAAAATACCAAGTAGTAGGGTCTAAAGGGGCTAAGTATTTGTTCAGGGATCCCAGTAGGAGAGGAGGGAGTCAGCCCTAGGTCACGTTGCTGCCAAGCCCTTGCTCTGCCCAAAGAACAACTCTGCTCCACACCATACGTTTTGCCCCTTCATGTCTGTGAAGGTTATATCTGTGACCTCGTTTGCCCGGCATCCTCCTCTCCGATCCCCTTGATTATGGGCATTTTCTGTCTCCATCCTTGACCCGGGACCGCTCTTCCTCACACCCACCCCTGGCTTCAAGCTTTCTCTAGAGTCATATTAGTCAGCTCAGGCTGCTGTAACAACCTGCCTTAGACTGGGTGGCTCAAGCAACAGAAATTCATTTGCTCACTGCTCTGGAGGTCAGAAGTATGAAAGCAGAGTGCCAGCAGGGTCAAGGCTGACTGCTCTCCGGCCTGCAGATGGTCACCTTCCTGCCACGTGCTCACATGGCCTTCCCTTTCATACGTGTATATGAAGAGAGAGAGAGAGAGAGAGAGAGAGAGAGAGAGATCTGGTGTCCCTTCCTCCTCTTGTAAACCCACTAACGCTATTGCGTTAGGATACCACTGTTCTGACCTCACTGACCCTCTATCTCCAATGGCAGCCGGGGTGGGGCCAGGGCTTCCACATATGAATTGTGGGGAATAGAATTCAGTCCACAGCAAGTCATGACTTTCTGTCCTGCCTTCTCTCCTCCACTTCAAGCTCTTTTTCCTTTTCTCTAACTTCCTGCTATACCTTTCCCCTTGAGTATTCCTCTGTCTCTTCAAATTCAACAAATCCAAAATCCAGCCTCATTTTCTCTGTCATAAGATTGTCAGCCCTCTTACCTCACTTCAAGGGTAACAATTTGGAGTAATTTTTGAGCTTTCTCTCTTTTAACTCTGGTATCTGTTAACACCAAAGAATGATTAATTTCTCCTTCAAAGTACACCTCAAAATCATTCCCTCCCTTCTTTCCATACCATTACCACCTCCTTGTGTACCATTTAGGTTACTGTTGCTGTATAACAAAAGATTCCAAAACTCAGTCTTAACACAATCATTTCTTATTTATCATGTGCTTGTGGACTGGCTAAGCGTTAGCTCAGCAAGGCGGGCTTAGCTGGGGCTCAGCTCTTCCCAGCTCTCTCCCCACGGGACAGCCAAGACATGCTTCTCTCTTGCTTCTCAGGTTTTTGTTCACATTACCTCCCGTGACATTGTAAAGCATGTCACATGGCCAAGTCCACAGCCAAAAGGTGGAAGGCATGGGTGAGAAAAGCAGTAAATATTTGTAATAGTGATTTAGTCTACCACACCCTCTTCTTCATGAATGATTCCTCAGCGGCCTGTCAATGGCTTTTGTGTACTCTCGTGCCATCCTTGTCCAGTGTTTGCTGTGTGTACTTCCTAAACTAATCTTTAAACACCACTTTTACCATGTCAGTAATCTTCTCTAAAATCATGGATGCATCACTATTTGCAGCTATAACTATGTCTAATTTCTTTTTCCTTTTCTTTAAAATCTTTCATAATTTCATCATTCTCCATTTCCTCAACATACAATCTTACATTCTAATCAAGCCAGACTCTTCAATGGTTCATGAATGTCTAATCTATTCCTATCTTGGTATTTTTAAGGTTTATTTATTTATTCAAAAGACAGAGTGACAGAGATGTTCCATCTGCTCATTTCCCCCTGACATGGCCACAACCACCAGGCAGGGCTGAGCCAGGCCAAAGCCAGGAGCCAAGAACCCCATCTTGGTCTAATACATGGCGCGGGCTCTGGACGGGAAGCATAGCATCTAGGATGTGAACCAGCACTCTGGTATGCAATGCTAGTCACAAGCCAGTGGCTTAACCTGGTGCACCAGGACACCAGGCCCAGTGTTGGTGTCTGTGTTCATATAGTTCCTCTCACCCCAAATGTTTCCTTCTCTCCCCATTGCTACTTATACCTCTTCCACAAAATTTCTCCAGGTAATTTTCCCTAACTCATCTCCCTTTTACACTATTAAATCAATTTATTACTTCTCACACAGGAATATTTATTGCTTATCATTTTTTATTAATTTTCATTTAGTATTTTCTAGGTGCCAGGACTGTACAAAATGCTAGTGCTAACATAATGAAAAGAGCCCCGTTTATGATCAGTTACTGGTTAACAATCTCTTGGGGAACACTGTGGTATGATAGGGCTGCATGGGGTGAACACAGGGGACACAGAATGGGATCTGATCCTATCTTAGGAGACCATGGAAAGATATTTGAAGAATAAGTCATCTGTGGCCAATTCTGTGTGATGAGCGAGCATTGTTCAGGTGAAAACGGATTAATGGAAAGCATCCAGGATAAAAAAAAAAAAAAGCTAAGGCAAGAAAGAAGGTATGGCATGTTTGGAAAGCTGCCCATAATTCAGTTTGGCTCAAAATGAGAGAGAGAGAGAGAGAGGGAGAGGGAGAGAGGGAGAGAGGGTGAGAGGGAGAGAGAGAGAGAGAGGAGTGTACATCAAATTAAGGCAGCACAGCCAAGGAGAGGTTTCACAGATATTTGGAAGTGGATTTAACAGGACTGGGCTATTAAGTGAAGTAAGGGTACGAGAGAGCAAGGTATGAAGTCACGCCTAGGTTTCTGGGATAAGGCAAAGTCTATAGCAGTGCTACTGCTTTAGGGACGGTGAGAGGAAGAGAAGTGAAGAGAAGGCCAGGACAGGATGAGCAGGTAGATAGATGATGATGGCAAGGATGGGGCCACACGTTGATGCTAATGTAAGAATGATACTTATTTCAGGCATCACCAAGCAGGTGAGAAGGATCTTCCAGCATGCCAGAAATCCCACTACATGGGTGGCCACCTATTCTGCCCATGAATGGGGCGGGGGGGGGGGGGTTCAAAAGTTCAAACAAAACGGGTCTGGAAGCTGTGCTAGGGTCCAGTGTTGTCTGAGATCCAGACCAGCCCTGCTGTGGTAACCACAGGGAAGGTGCAAAGCTGCTGAAGCTAAGACTGAGTCTCTGTGAGATCTCACCGGACTGGATCTCGAACAATGATACTGGCAGCAGTTCCTCATTCCACCACAGCCTTGGTGTCGCAGTGTGTCAGAGATGGGGCTCATTCCTTTTCCTTTGACAACGCCAAACTAACAGTGCTTCAGTAAGCAACAAATAAAAGAATTAAGCCCCAAACAAGTCAATTTTGCACTTAAAAATGTATAATCCTTTTGAGGAAACTGAAATTGACATAGATTCTTTTATATCTTGAGAATTAAAATTTCATTTCTTGGAAGTATGATCAAAATAGATACTGGATCTTTAAAATAAAAGCAGACTTGGGATTTTTAATATTAATATCTGTGAAACTGGAAGATTAGCCCCCCAAAAATAGTGCCCATAGGAATGGCAGCTACACCCTAAAGGGACAGCGCTGCATTCAGCAGTACAAAAGGCCATTAGGTCCCCTACTGCCCACTTCCTCCCCAGCTCCAGTAGGATTCCTCTCTGGCATGTTCACAGGGACTCTGTTCAGTCTAGTTTTAAAGGTCTTAAGCTTGGAGTCTTTAATCACCTCCTTTAGAAGACTTTTCCCCTACTATCATAGGAAGTATGTCCTTGAGGGAAATTCACTGACACTTAGCCCATATTTCACTTGTTATGATTTCCTATTACCCTAATTAATACCTTTCTCTGAGCCTTTCCTTGTGACTCATGCGACACACATCACCCTTCCTCTGCAGTGTGTGTGCCACTCAGAACTCTTGCATGTGGACAGTTACCTTGTGTCTCCAGTCGGTCTTAACAGTGAGGAAATGTCGAAGCCTGCAGTACTAATAAATCAACTCCCGGTCTAATTAGAGGCTTAACTCTGTGAAGAGAAGATGTAACCCATTTGTTAATAATATCACTTAGGTCTCTGAAAGCATTCTTGCCTAAAAGAACTGAGTCAAATTAGGAACTAGCCTTAAACAAAATGTCAAAATAATGGCCTGCAAGGACACTGAGCCCAGTTCCTTCGCCGCGAGTGTGCAGCTGAGGATGCTGTCTGTGGCTTTGTGCCATTTATTCCAGAAGCAAACTGACTCTCAGTTTCTCCAAAGTTTATTAAAATGCTTATTTGGTTAACATCACAAATGTGCTAGGTGCTTGCTTTTAATTACCCACATAATACTCATTTTATAGATGATTACATCAAGGCTAAGTTCAGTAACATGCCCAGCACCACACAGAGCCTAAACCTCTCTGCCATACATGCAGTCTTAGAAAAATATGTGCTGCTTATTTTCTATTGCACCAGAAGCTGCAGAACGAGCACGCGAATGTATAGGATAAAATTTACAGAGTTCGCATGCTGCACCTGGCAGTAGCTGGTGTCTCCCTGTTTAGCCTACTGCACATTGACCTCTTCTATGTTTTAATGCATGTGGCCCTACCACGACCACCTCACTAAGTATTCCATCGATGTGCCACCCAGGACAAGAAAAGATAAATGAAGACCAGTAGGAATTGATTGCTCTGAGGTCTATACCCGTTGCCACTTCTGGGCTCAGCCTTTTCTGGGCTCACAGAAAGGGAGAATGCATCCACTCCTTTATACAGGGCAGAAGAGAATAATTCCTGTCTACTCACCCCACACAGGACAAAACCCTGAGCTTCAGAGAACTCTCCCTCCTGCTTCTCTCACTCCCAGCAGAATGGACATTTGTTGTTCTCAAACCTCCTCCCATTAACGCAAGGAGAAAAGAAGCGCTCTTCTCTTGGAACTCACTCTGGGTCTGGGGAAGGGCTGGGAATCAGGTGTCGGGGTGCACAACTCTCACGCATTAAGCTGTGTGCTCCATGACAAAGTAGGCAGGGATCTGAGCAGGCCTAACCTGGGAAAATCAGTCTTTGCCTAGGTACCAGTAACCAGATGGGCTGTAGGTTTTGTCCCAACTTGGCTAATTTTTTTTCTTATCAAATAATCCCCCAAAAGGATTCACATGAAAAAAAATCATAGGGCCGGTGCTGTGGTGCAGCGGGTTAATGCCCTGGCCTGAAGTGCTGGCATCCCATATGGACGCCGGTCCCAGCTGTTCCTCTTTCTATCCAGCTCTCTGCTATGGCCTGGGAAAGCAGTAGAAGATGGCCCAGGAAACCTGGAAGAAGCTCCTGGTTCCTGACTTCAGATCGGCGCAGCTCCAGCCATTGTGGCCAATTGGGGAGTGAACCATCGGATGAAAGATCTCTCTCTCTCTCTCTCCCTCCCTCCCTCCCTCCTCTGTGTAACTCTGACTTTCAAATAAATAAATAAATCTTCAAAAAAATCATTTGATGAGTCATTTGATATCCAAGTATAAATACATTAACCATAGAAATAGTGGAATTGTATCATATAGGATCTAGGGCAAGAAGTATGTACAAAGTTGACCATTTAAATACCTTCAGGGCACCAACTTTGGCGACAAACAGTTTATAGACTTTCCCTCCATCTTGGGCCATATTTCAGCTTCCTAAAGGGGAAAGGAAGAAATGTCCATGGTTTCATCTCAACTTTGCTCAGTTAAGAGAAGGACAGGTAAAGCTGTGATTTCTCCATCCCTCTCTCTCAGTGTATTTATTTTTGCCCTGAGTAGGTGTTACTGCTTTATTGCAAGCTAAATGCACATACGGTGCAACTCCCTTACATAGGATATATATTCACACTACTGTTGATCACCACAGCGCCACACTGGGATAACCCCAGCAACAGAACAATGTTAACGCTCGAACACATTGTGTTGACTCAAGTGCTAACACCTCATTTTCTCTTTACTATTCTTAAGGTAGAGAAAACCATAAGCAGAACCTGGGAGATCTAGAATTGAGACTTAAAGAGCTCCTGGAAATTGTGGCTGCCTCTTCACCATGGTACTGATAGTCCATTGACATCTGGGTAGATGCAGAAACTGTGTCAGTCTACTCCCAAAAGATCCCCATCACATTGATTGAAACTGTTTTACATCTGTTGACATTTACATGATCAGTTCAAATTGATGGTCAGGTGATTTTTTTAAAATAAGATTTATTTGAAAGGCAGAGTTACAGAGGGGGAAAGAGAGAGAGAGAGAGAATCTTTCATCCACTACTTCACTCCTTAAATGGCCACAATAACTGGAGCTGGGCCAGGTTGAAGCCAGGAGCCTGGAATTCCAGCTGGGTCTCCCAAGTAGGTTCATGGGGCATAAGGACTTGAGCCACCTTCTGCTACTTTTCCAGGAGCATTATCAGGGATCTGAATAGGAGTGGAACACCCAGGTCTCAGACCAGGGCCTATATGGGATGCTGGCATTAAAGGTAGTGGCTTATCCACTTGCACCACAACCCTAGCCCTGAATAAATAATCAGTTTTTTTAAAAAAAATTATTTATTTATTTGAAAGTCAGCATTACACAGAGGAGAGGCAGAGAGAGAGAGAGAGGGGTCTTCCATCCGATGATTCACTCCCCAGATGGCCGCAACGGCTGGAGCTGTGCCGATCCGAAGCCAGGAGCCAGGAGCTTCTTCCTGGTCTCCCATGTGGGTGCAGGGGCCCAAGGACTTGGTCCATCTTCTACTGCTTTCCTGGGCCATAGCAGAGAGCGGGACAGGAAGCAGAGCAGCCTGGTCTTGAACTGGTGCCCATATGGGATGCCGGCACTTCCAGGCCAGCGCATTAACCCACTGTGCCACAGCGCCGGCCCCAAAGTAATCAGTTTTAATACAAACATGTGCTTTTAACTCCCAATTCTGAAGTTTTTATAAACATGAAAAGTTGGGAAAGGGGAATGAGGAAGACAAATCAGGGAAAGAAATGGAACTAGGATTTAATGAATGTCTCACATGTATTTGGGAAGCTTCATAGAGATACTCTACATATTTTTTACCTAGAAGGTTTGTATTATTACCTATTTTATATACTCCAAAAAGTTTTGTGGAAAAGGCCATACAGATAGAAACAGGCTAAGTTCAGAATCAAACACAAGTGTCTACGGCTCCAATGCCTGGCCTCTATCCATTGAATATAAAGAAAGGAAAATTTACTTTGCATCCTCATAGGCATGTTGAGAAAAAAAAAAGAACCAAAGAGAGATTGCAACATGTTTTGCAAAGTAAAATATGCTAATGAAGAACTGACAGTATCAACATGTTCCACAGGAACTGTATATATGATGAACTTTCAGAGGCTCTAAACCAGTTTTCCTGTTGTGTAATTCCTCCTCTTTGTTGCTCTCCTAAATGTGCAATGTCAACTCTAGTGCATTTTAACCTGTGTAGTTAATAGCTAGTTCTAACTGCTACTGGGGAAAATGTTTTAAATTAAATGTAATAGGTTTTTAATTAAGGGAGCATTTTTTTAAAAGGATTTATTTATTTGTTTGAAAGGCAGAATGATAAAGAGAGATCTTCCATCCACTAGTTCACTCCTCAAATGATCACAACAGCCAGGGCTGGGCCACGCTGAGGCCAGGAGCCCAGAACTCCATCTGGGTCTACCACATGAATGACAGGGACCCAAGTACTCAGGCCATCATCTGCTGCCTTCCTAGGTGCACTAGCAGGAAGCTGGATTGGAAGAAAAGCAACCAGGGCTCAAATCAGCATTCTGAGATATGGGATGCAGGTTTAATCTGCTGTGCCACAATGGCCAGTCCCAATTAGTGATTAATATTGACATTAGTATTAATAATAATAATTAATAAGGAATCATGCTGTATAATTCAATAAAATTTCAAAAGATCATATAACCTGACCCAAATGACTTCAGTCAAGTGCCCAAGGTCAACATCAGTGGTGGTAAGTCATGTTCTTGCTCCAGCAGGATGACAATGGGACCTTATCTTCATGATCTCTCTCCCCAAACACATAAACCATGTCTAATTGTAGAGAAAAATCAGAAAAAAAATCCAAAAGAGGATCATAATACAAAATACCATTCATATGTATGTGAAATAAATATCTTCAAAATAGAAGTTTGCCTTGAAACTGTCATGGTCATCAGAATCCAAGAAAGCCTGAGAAATGGTCAGTCAAGAGAAGTCTAGGAAAAATGATGAGTAAACATTATATGCTAACCTGCATGAGATCCCAGAACTGGAAGGAACATTGGGTAAAAACGACAGAAATTTGAATATGGAATCTAATAGTAAGGTATTCGTGTTGATTCACTGATTGAAGCAACCTAGATGTGAGTTAAATGGCAATCTCTGTACTAACTTCATACATTTTTTAAAATCTAAAACTGAAAAAAGTTAGTGAACGAATAAGACAAAAGAGCATGTAAATTGGATTTTGTTCTGTATAAATTCCTTAAAATGTGTATCCACCTTCCCCTGTTCTCAGATTTCTTCAAAAACCTAAAGGACAGAGCAAAGGACAGTGTTTTTTCCTAATTCACAGAAATTGTGGTCATCAGGAAAAGTATAATAAATTAGCCCTGTTCTATCTTGTCTTCATGAATAGAGTTTAAGGAACTCAGTGCTAGGTTTACCTTTGTTGTTGATTAATTATGATCTTTAAAAGGTCATTTTACTTCACAAAATAGATAAAGGTTTTACCTCGTGGATGCTTATAAAATTTAATGAAATGATATAGTTAGATAATGTATAAAAATAGTTACTTTAGGGCTAGCATTCTAATATCAGAGCTTTTTAAAAAAATAATCAATTTCAAATGCTGGCCAGACAATTGGACTTTCTGGTCAACCAAGAGTCCTAGAGAGATTTTATTCCTTTGTTTGATTTTCTTCACACCGATGAGCATGCAGTTAAACTTGACTTAAATACCAGGACAAGCTGACACAAGTTGGTATAGAATTGCATAGACAGTCCACACCCTGGCTCCAGCTCTATTCTGAAAATCAGGGTACAGTGTGACCCAGATGTGCAAGTCTCTGCTTCATGAATCAGCCCCTCCATACACGGAAAACTTGGCCTTGCTGCTCCAAGGGGAGACAAGGGATTACTGGGGAGATGACATCAAGGCCACCACACGTATCGACTTGCTTTGCCCAGGATGTGCGGAGTTTTGCTTTGCTTGGAATCAGCCCCAGACTTTAGAATTAAACTAACCAGAGCTTGCTTTTCAACTATCCCCAAAATACACGCTTTCCCGAAGACTCCAGGCGCTGGCATTCCATTTGCTCAGGCTCCGCCTCTGTTCACGATCCCTAAGCCCTTGATCTCTTCAGGCAATGAGAGGGGGAGGGAAGTAATCAGAGGTTCAATTCAGCCACAGGTGCGTGTGCAGCACAAACCCACGTGTGATCAGAGTCACAAGATAGTAAGGACACTACAGGTTCTGAAGGAGATCTGACTGAAACCAAGCCAGAAACCAGGCAGGCAGTGCAGAGTTCAGTCATGACTTCTGGGCTGTGGCTGTTCTTGTGGGTTCTGCAATTGGTGCCCAATGTGAAGAGCACCTCACCCGGTGGGAGGCACAGGAGACAGGCAGGTTTTTAATTTCTTCCATGCGAACTTCTGGGTCATTTCCAAGTGCTTTTCAAAATGCCTTCATGGAGGCACCAGAAACTCAAGGTGATGACCAGAGACAACTCATGGTCACTACTGACGAGGTTTATGGAATATATTTCCATCAGACTCCGTGGCTTGACTTCTTACACCAAGCGACTTGAAAGTGACTAGATATCTGCACTAGTGTTCTCCTTCACACAACCCCTGCTGCCTCTATCCCTGCAGCTTCTGCTCTCTACTCGTCTCCACGAGAGTGGAGAGTGACTCCTAGACTTCCTAATGCTTCTCTATTGACTGCGTAGCCATGCACACTATTTTTGCCTTAAAAGTTTAGACCACGTACTATAGAAATGCTGATGCCAGGCGTGGAGGGAATAAACACGGGGGAAGCTACAAAAGCCTCATGAAATCCTTGCAGCCGTATCCCTGGTCAGAGGTTGTAGGATGACACCCTTTGGTTTTCAATTCTTGTTTGCCAAAGTGACAGTCATAATAAATCATAAAGAAAAATATTGACTGGGTTCCTTTTGTTAGTAATATTAATTTCTCAGGGACTTTTGGTGAGTGCTACCAAATTTGGCGGGCATTTTCACAACAGAGGGCTCTTCTCCAGCAACATATGGTTGGGATAACTGTCTCCTTACCCAGAATCCTCCACATGCTAAAGAGTTATTCAATCAATATACTGAGAATCAGAGATACAGCTTCCAATTGTATTTTTGTTGCTTGACTCAGGAGCATTACTCACTGGAATTTCACTGAGTAGGAGTGTGACTGTGTGGCTGTCATTTCTTTCTCGTCCCCTCACTTAGCAGTGTTGCTGGATACACCACCAGTGCAGGCCTTCGTGCTATACACAGCCCACATCAGAAGCTCATCTGACAGGCTGTGGGCCATAAAGGAACCAGAAACCTTTATTACTTGATATCTAGAACCACTTACACCGAGAGTTAGTTTTTCTCCCTCTGGATAGCAGCTTCAGAAGTGAACTCAGAACAACATTGGGCTTATTGACTACGGAA